TTCGATCTTTGTATTAATAATAATCTCAATTTCTTTCTACGTTAGTTTTGATTATAGTGACCCTCCTTACCTACCCTGAATACGAATACGAAAATACGAGAAGGTCACTATAACCTGTGCGCGCACAGGAGCCTTATAAGTTTAGGTGCTGACCCCAGATCAGCCAATGTACAGGTCGTTACTTGACTTCATCCGGTTCTTCGAGAGGCTAGTGCCTCGGGTGAGCCGCCCCGGTTGCACGTACAGTACCCTCCCTATTTTCCAGATAGGTACCGGAGCTGAAGGCACGCTCACTCCTGTTGCGCATTGCACAACTAGCGATTGCCACCGCTAAGCCGTCGACTCTGAGTCCACTACCTAATACTAATACTAATCTCCTCATTGGTGGCAGAGCTGTAAGGCACGCCCACTTCCCGACGCCTGACGCCGAAAAACAACGTATCTCCAGTTTCCAATAATCTAAGCGGCTGGACGGACCAGAGAATATCTAGCTTACCCTCTACTAGCTCTCCGGGCTAGTGCCGGAGATTCCAGTCACATTGTCCTGCGACAATGTCCGGACATGGCTTCCACCTTAAAGGGCAACTCACGTGTCCCGCGCGTCTCCTCGCTTTAGGCCAACAACTAGATCGCTACTAAGACGCGCTAGCTGCTCACGAGACAGACGCCCCGGATTTTTTTAGACGGTTTATTTTAGAGCATGGGAACTTAGAATAATTAACCCTATCAGTATCAATCAATCCATTCCAAGCGCAAGAGCCTGCTGTGTAAGTAGCCATACGCGAAAAGTGTATATATATATTGAAGGTAGATCATTCCAAATTTTGGCAGAAGCGTACTTAAAGCAACCTCTTGCGCCAGCTAATCTAATCATAGGTACACATAACATGGGACCTCTGAGACCTATGAGTGATGGCATACTTTTCTTAGAAATTAACTTATCATACAAATACGGCGGACATTCGTCGTGCAGCAATCTGAACAGAAAACACGCATACTTGAGCGTACAGGTATTAAGTTGCCGTCACTCGATAAGATGTGGTGAAATTCTACTTCTTCTAGGTATTGCATAACAAAATCTCATACATGCGTACTGCACGCGTCTCATACTGCACGCTTTGCACACTCCTCAGTGTTTTTTTGTACAAACAGGGGGAACACACTATATCAGCGTAGCTCAAATGCGATAACATCAGTGCATTACGCACCACCAAGCGCATCTCTTCCTTCAGATAGGGTCTGATATTATAGTGTTTTTAAAGATGCAAATAATTTTGCTACTTTTTTACGAACATGTTGTTTGAAACTTAAGGATTCGTCTATTATTATGTTTTTCCTTTTTTTTTCTTAAGAAAGCCTTTCCGCCGAACTGAAAAAAAAATCTTCCACGAGGAGTGTGATTCGCTGAATTGAATTGGACAATGAAATTTGCATTTATAACCTGTTCCAATCCAATGTTCGAAAAAAGTGAACGAACAGATCATTCACCCGACCATAGACAGTTTAGTGACGGCCAACTGTACTGCTAACTACAAATGGATTAATTAATTAAATGAATATATTTGTTTATTTGAATCCGTTGGAATAACTGGAATTTCTATAGTAAAATGGGTTTCGCGATGTCGCTGCTGATTACTTTAAAAAAATAAGTGATTCAATACTGAGTGATTTTTTTCTTAAGTAACCTAAAAAGCAAGTTTAAAATTTCCGAAATCTAATTTTAAATCCTCCTTCAAATCGTACACTTATATATTCGTTCGATTGTGATAAAATTTTCTTTAATAAATTACAAAAACTTTAACTAACTATGCTATTCACAAATCTATATTTGATTACTAACCTCACTTTTGAACCAACATTTTTCAAATAAGATAAAAATCTTCGTCGAAATCTTCAAAATGCACCTGAAAGTGTTACTTATTCATTTATTGAGTGATCGATTTAGAATTTTAATCAAACTGGTTTGTTTACTTTTTTGGCATAATGGAATGGAACAGAGTTTACCTCACATATAAATTGCTTGATATTTATTATCTTTTGCCTATTGCTTGTCTCTGTGCATTGGGACAAGCTTTATACCCCCATCTTGGAATTGGCAGCCCCGAACGGAAGAAGACAAGCTGGCGGGTCGCATGGAAGTGAAGCGGTACAAGCAGACGAAGGAAAAACTGCGGCGCAGGCGCGAGCGACTGCTGCACAAGGTGCGACTGCTGGCCAGCAAGACGCAGCCTGGACAAGTGTTCGACGCTGCACTCAAGGTCGGGTTCTTCTGCGAGGCGCTCCTGGGCCGCGAGCCGTTCGGGCCTCGATCACAGGCCCTTTGTTTGCAGGCTGACCTGGTGGACTCGGAGACGGACACTGAAGCGGACTCCGATGAGGCCGCCTCAGATCCAGTGCCGCCTGCGGCGTCAGTGCCGGTGCCACCCGTCGAGTCCCCCCCTCTCGTAGCACCGTCGGATCCTGCCCCCCTTGCCGACGAACCCGCCGCACCCGTGGCCGTTGACGCGGACGAGGTGGCCAGGAAGATCAAGGAGCAGTTCCGTAGCAGCATGGCCAGGGTCATGGTGCAGCATCTGAACCCATATAGGCATTCTGATGCGAAGGCTGGCCGGATCACTTGTACGGCCGACTTTAAGCACCTCGCCAGAAAGGTAGGTGATATGCACGTGTTGCAATTATGTAAAAAGACTTTTAACGAAGTTAGAATACGGTACAGTGTAAATCGAACCAATTAAGCAAAATTAATTGCTGGGAAACAACTTTTATTTTTTGGCGTTATATGACAGCTGTGACTTAGGACGCGCAATGTAACGCTTGCAACGAGTGCATGAGTGTGTTCACAATCCGCGTTCAGTCTGATAGCAGTCAAATACCGAGCGCGATGGTTATGTGGTACCCGTAGAACTTTGGCTGTAGCACGTACTTTCAAACGTAGGTTTTCTTATACCACATCGAGAACAGAACTGAACTGCGGATATTCAATCTTGTAAAGTGGAAGTGCCTCGGATGCATTTCCACGAGCCGAACCGTAACACAAAACCTTGTTGAAACAGTCACGTGCATTACAATACAATACAAAATGCTTTATTTTTGTCAGAATGTCTGTACTATATACTATATGTACTGCATATTAGTTATTAGTACTAATTACAAAGATCCAACAAATAAGCACATAGAAAAAATTGTGAGGTGGCTTTGTATTAATAATTAGAACAAAAAATATTTTTTCTTTATAAGTTTACTAATAATTAATAACATCTCAAAATAGATTTCAATAGATTTCGTAAAAAAAAGAAAAAAGAAATTCACTCTGATAGTCATTATCTCATTAACTATCTGGTTTCTAGACATGGCCCCATACAAGAAAATAATAGTAACTATGGGAAGAATAATATGTGTTTCTCGTTTTAGTTAAGGGTGTTTTTACACCCTATATATGTGAGTAACAAAACAGTCCCCCAGAAGAAACAGTTGCCAGCTGATCTGATGATCAGCTGGCATCTATTTCTTCTGTTCGCATCAGCCAAGAATGGTCAATAATTAGGATTTTACTGAACTTGATAGGTCTACACCGTTTGATGTAAAGATAACTAGTGCATTTGTTCGATAGCTGACCCACTTCGTGATGCTGAAGGAGCTGAAGCACTGCCGGGCTGTCGAAGAGCTGGTGGTGACGGACTCGGTGCGCTCAAAGGCCAAGATGTTCGTGAGGAAGTACATGGCCAAGTTCGGCCCCGTGTACCGGCGTCCGCCCGAGGAGGCCGACTAGCGCAGGGCCCCCCCGGTGCCCGTGAGGGCCCCGGAGACACCCCACTGACGTTCTCAAGTGCTAACCCGCCAGCGGAGAAACCGACCGCTTCGTAAAAGAACAATTGTGTGCAAGCTGCATTTCCTCGAATATAACCGTTTTGTATTATGTAATATTGTATGCGCTACCCTGCTGAGCACTGATCTCGCTTAAATTCATGTGATTATAGTACCTCCTAACCGAAACGGGGTACGCGACGTGTTCACTACTACCTTGTAAGTCTGTAGTCAATAGGGAATAAGAATTTAGATCAAGATATCGCAGTAGCGCGGCAGTGTCCACCTGCCAGGTCGTTGAGTAGCTAACACCGAGTACGGTTCAAACACTGGTTCGACATTTAAGACTGGACTGAAGATATAAAGTAATATTTGACTCGGTCTACATAGTGGTGGTCGTTAATGTGACGAATGGGCCTGATATTGAAAAAGAAGCTCGGATCTGCGTTGCTGTGCGATTGTCATAGTGTCGCGTTGTGTCTGTGTGAATCGCGTTATTGAATGACGCCGCATTTTTATTGTCAATATGTACAGTTAACCGACTGTCGTAATATAAGGATCATTTGTAATTTCCTTTGGTAGGTGGTGTGTTGCTTATTAATTGATTGCGACTGTCGCTTTGTACGCGTCCACTAATCTGCACTGTATGCAACGGATTTCAATTACGTAATCAAGGAAATAGAAGACGCCGTTGATAGGAGCATAATAAATACCGCAGTGACGCCTTCGGAATTTTATTTCGATTGACATCGCGTTCAACTTGGTGTGGCAAAAGCAAATACCGCCGCCGGTGCGATCTAGTGGATCTTAGTCTGATATTTTTCTAATATTTCTCTTCAAATTGATTTACTTTAGTGCACGAGAGCTGCGAGAACCATATAACTGGTTTGCGTGCGATAGTAATAAACACGAATGCGATTCCCTGGGAGAAAAGTATAATGCCAGATTAGATTACATTGAAATCAAAATGGATTTGTTTATTGCAAAATAATAGCCTTCATTATTTTGTAAAATGACGCATTGCGTGTAATAATATAAGTAGCAAGTTGGACGATGTCATATCGTCGAAATCGACTAAACGTTTCCTAGCCCCGTGCGAAACTTGTAAATATAGCTTATACGGATATACTTATAAACTAGTGTTACGACTCTGAACGATAATTGTATTATAGATCATAGAATATTTCACTATTATAATTATTAAGCTGATTTCGATTGAAATATGTAGGTATTTTTTGAAATAATGCAGAATTAAGGTATTTATTACATGATCTCTTGATCCGAGGTTTTGTTACAGACATTGAACTGGAATAACGATGTTTGCGTAAAGTACATACACAGTATTATAGTCGATTGAACCGAGTCGTTGTTATTTAACATGCACTGATGATTCTTTCCATTTTAAAACGATATGATTATACGATAAGTGAATGTGCTGAAATGGCAAAATGTACATACGATGCTACTTATGTAATGCGTAAAATATCAATCGGGCTAACTTGAATCACTTTCACTAGTGTCAGTTTTATAGCACGGATGACCTTATCTACTCGTCATACGGTTGATAGTCCGTTGACAGTCCATGTTCATTAACCTCACACGTTTCCTTACGTTTGATGAAATGAACACCACCGTAGGGTGATTATTAAACCTGTTTAGTATATATAGTATTATTCTCCTCGCGGGGCCGTTGTAAGTACACTATCTGTAGTAATGTAATGCATGCTATTTGTATATGCCAATCTGCAGTGCAGATGTCTACAAATTGTGTGTTATATCAATTCCTCGGAGAAATAGTTCCGTTTTGTAACTACGTACGTTGCGCGATTATGTAGGCATACGATTTTGATGTTAAACCAATTAATTCACTTTCTCTCTTCCATTGACTGCAAAAGGGGTAACAATACTTTTAGACCCGTTAAATTAGTTTAGGTACTCGATACTATCGGTGTAGATATATAGTAGAGGAGTTTCAGAATGATGTCGAGAGAGTGTAATGACACCGAACAATGTTATGTAGGATTTACAACGTTACGGTTTTTCAATGGAAGAGGCAAGTTTATGATTATTGATATAAGAGTATGTGATTAATTAGTATATGTAAATATTGTACATAATGACGAGTGTCTTTCTTATTGATAGAGCGACTAATTTTATTTGAATATCCGTAGCGTATGTCTGAAACGAGATGGGTAGAGTTATGTAAGCTTCTATTTATAAGTTTGCGATGAGATCGACGCCCCTCTGAACAAATAAAATGTTATTTCTTTTAATATGTCCTGGTTTTATTTTGTTTCAGATTTATTCAATTGATTTTAACCAGGGCTCGAAGTGATAATTATCAGAATAATAATAATAACGCACACACTCAACATTGCCCCGAACTAAGGAAACCCTGTGTCGCGGGTGTCATGGACACACATAGACAACCACAAATTACACCCAAACCTTAGACTATGGAAACTTTTCCATCCTCTAAGACCCAAACTCGCGAGAGAAATAAATATAGGCCATACAAATATTTCTACCGGACCGAACCTGCGACCTCTGCGTGGCAGTCATGGTAATCGTTCGGCAACAGAGGCCATTTTTTTTAATTATCAGAATAATCTGGATAAATGTTGATAATCATTTTTTATATTTATAAAATTGATTGGAACAACAAAATGCTACCTCTTGCAATCTTGTGCCACGTGTTCTGTCTACTCTACTCGCAAAGAAGTAGACGCCTTGGTGTCCACACAAGAAATTTTCCATAACAGTTGCAGTGTCACTCGGAGTTTTAAATCGCAAAGATCTGAGGAGCAGTGCCGCTGCGCCCGTCCCTGAGATAAGTTGACAAATCCCGTGTGCCCGTAATTTCACCGGCACACCTACCTTTCAAAACTGGAACACAGTAATGCTCACTACTGCTTGGCGGCAGAAATAGGTAAGGTGGCAGTACTTCTTTGGACGAACTCTTTCCCAAGGAACTCTACTGCTACTAAATACAATACTTCATTTCAATCCATTTTGAACAAAAAGTAAACAAACAAGTCACTGACCCGACCATAGACGGTTTAGTGGTGGCCAATTGTAACGCCAACTACAAATCAATTGAATGAATCGATTTGTTCAATTGAGTTATACTAGCGGTTTTCCTTACATAACCTATTTAGGCATATTTAAAATTTCAATTTAAATCCATTGACTTACAAATAAATGGACGACGGGTGGGTCTAATACAAAAACCACGAAAAAAATGTCCCAAGTAAACCTATTTAAACGTAGTGACATGTAAAGGAATATGAAAAAGCTAAAACGTTGAATTTAGATTGTAATGTCATCGCAGTACTGTCTAATTTTGCTTGCTTCGCTGTCAGAAGAAACAAACGAAGACTAAAGCGTGAATGACGCTCTGTATACGATGTTAACGCCCTATAAGTTCGGACACTTTTTAGCGCGGACCCGACGTCCATATAATTGTAAGTCAAAATGTTTAAATCCTTCAAATCCTTACGCTAGATACTCGTTCGATTGCGATTGAATTGTTCGATTTAATAATCGAATACTAAACTTTAATTGATTAAACCGGTTTTTTTTTTCGAACAGCACTATGCAACCATAGGCAAGTCATAGAATTATAGATGAATAATAACCTCACTTCTAAACGACCATTTTTCAAATACGATTTTACGATGCTATTCAAATGAATATTGTAGGAAAAAGTGATGATATATCTAGTCAAAATCTTCGACATTTACGTGAAAGTGTTACTTATTCGATTTATTGAGTGATTGCTTTAGAATTTTAACCAAACAGGTTTGTTTACTTTTTGTTCAAAATGAATTGGAACAGACTATACTACATAAACTGCGATTAGCGACTGTGGAATTCATCGAGGTGGAACTATATGCAATAATGTTTACTGTAACCTTTGAGTTTACGTTTGTGTAAGCTTACACTGTTTGCACTATTTCCTAGTCAGCACTTTAATAAAAAAAAGTATTAAATCATTGTAAGTCTATTGTCTGCGTGATGTACCTACATACAGATTACCAAATTCTTATTTTCTGTCGTGTCGTGGATGTCCTGTGTAAAAGGAACAATTCGGTGGCCCCACCGAATAAACGATTCGGTGGGCCGCCCATTTCATGTCACAAGGGTCGTTACTCAGTACGAGAACATAGTTATCAACACAATATATAAAAGTATTAATAATATTATTTTTATTATTAATAAATATGTAATGAATACTTAAATAAGTACATAATTAATGTCGCTTAGCGGTCTGTTGCTGTCTCCAAAATTCTTCTCTGTTCTCAAGGAAGCGTATTGCTTCTTCAGCCTGCTTCATGACGACCTCGTTTTTCTTGTCCGCGATGGCCAGGTCGGGGTTCTTGAGCAAGTTCTCTAGGTACAACTTGTCGGACATGAGTTGACCGAGAACGGGACGCGATGCTTTAGACGTGGAGCGTTTCGACGTCTTCTTTTTCTTCACCGGTTTTACAGAACCGATTGTGTTTTCTATCGCCTCCTGAAACGCGTTGTGGCAATATTACGTTGGTGTCCTTTAGCTGACAAGAATTTGCAATAAGATTGTTTTACTATTTAGAAAAGATAACAAAAATTGCCTAATTTTTTGCCGAAAACGTACTCCGTTTTACTCATACATGACACGTGTTGCAGTAAATTTTTTAGTAAAGGGATTTGTCACTACATCCATCTAAATAGGAAAAATCTCACCTGAGCTTTTTGCACTCCCAACCTAAACTCGTACAAGTCAGGTCTCGTTCTCAATCCCCTGTGGTAGTGCACTAAGCTAAGCTCGAATTCTCCACAATAGTATAACGCTTCAGCCTTCCGCAGAAGCGCCTTGGCGTCCTTCGGATCCATTTTAAGTGCTGTTTCGGCGTCTGCTAGAGCAGAATGAGGTTCGCCCAGAAGCAGGTAACATTGGCTGCGGGCGACATAGGCTGCCTTCTCTTCCGGTGCTAGTTCGATTGCCTGGAATGATAATATATTGGTATATAGGTGACAAAATTGCTGTATTTTGGTATGTTTTATTTTTTGTTCAATGTTATTATTATTGTTAATTTAATCGGCCAACCAATAAAACCAAAAGATTTGGACTTATTTTTTTGTTGAAAATCTGCTCAACATACTTTATTCAATGCTGACCTACTCTTTACCCATTCGACTGATATCTACAAAGAATCCTTCTCAATTAAAGATATCAGGCGGGCGAATCCTCTGCCCGAGTCAAGCAGCAAAACTACGTTCCCTCTAAATGTACAACAATATACCTTATCTACAAACGTTAAAGCAGTTCGGTAGCGCTCTCTCATCATTTCAGCCCGTGCAAGCGCTAACAGCGTCCCCGCGTCAGCCTCTGCCGGCAGCTGCAGCGCGCTGCTTCTCTCGGCCTTGTCCTTCTGGCTGAGCGACTGCTTGATGTCTTTCGATCCCATTACCACAGCTGCGGCTCTGTCCTTATCAGTATACAACTCTTCCTCGCGATGTCGCCTCTCGCGTTTCTGTTTTCTTTTAGCACTCTTCTTCCTGGGTTTAATAGACACTTTCCTCTCTTTCCATCCATTGACCGGTATATCTTTATCTCCTTCAGAATCATCATGTTTCTTAACAGCGGACGGCGGCGCTCTTTTGCTGATGGAAGCCTTCGGGGCCGCAGGTTCTTCCTCTTCATCTCCGATGTCTATGCGGACGAAGCTTTGCAGGACCTCGGCTTCTTTATTAGGACCAAGAATTGATATCGCTTGAAGTTTCGCGGTGTCGATACCTTCCATTGTCCGTTTTTGAAGAGCAATGGGATAGGATGTTATGTAATGTGGAGAGGCGTGTAAAAAGACATCGATTTCGACGCTCGGGCTGTGGTCGTCATGGTGACTGGATGTGTTTTTGCACCCTCTTGCGACACCTACAGTTGAGTATCAACTTCACTAACCATTTCCAAGATACGGTGTCGGCAGTTCTCCGCAATTCCATAAATCCACCATTTGTTGTACACGTGAAACAAAATAGGTCGAAAACTTGTTCACAAACTTGTTTTCATCATGAGTCCATAAAATCCATACCTATTGCCCAAAGCGAACCCTTAAACTGAGATGAAACGGAAAGTAGCTAATTACACGCTGTACTGTTGTTTAGTTACTGTGTTGTTTCAAAGTTCGAGTTAATGGCTGCTGAACTAAATTTCTATTTAGTTCTGTAGGTTTCTACCTACCTCTCTATCTATTCTACCTATTATATGGACTACTTTGTGACGGTGTGACCTCCTTTCACCGTCATCTCACCTTTTTGTATCGCCTCTCTCCGCTTGTATCCTATAATTTTTTTATTTTACTTGTATTTAAATTTTAAATTTGAATTGTTCCATCTTCCTTCACTTTCTCATTTTGTTTTCGTACCACGGTCACTCTCAGCTCGACCGTCACAACAGTCGGAGCTGTTTCAAATTCCATCGCGAGTAATCGCTGATTTTGGTTCTTTACTACGTTTAAAATCATTAAATAAGATAAATCATGTGTAATAATTTATAAGTCTACAGCCTTCATGTACCTATATCTGTAATTCAGTTTTTGTGTTCTTTTAATTTTACTTCTTTAATAAATTTTGTGGACCAGAAGTTTCCCATTTCTTTGCCGTGAACCTGTTCACGGCTAGTTAGGGTTACAACCCTTTCACTGGCGCCCGAACTAATTCTCAAGAACCCTCTCAACTTATACATAATTGACACACCCAACTCGAGTTAATTAGTAACTTTTTGATACTTAACCCTTATCTTTGAATTTGTACTAGAACAAATCGAAAGATGTCGATTGTGTCCGTTATGTTATCGACAGCCCCGTATCTTTTTATTTAAGTTTTGATTATAGTGCCCCTCCTTATTAACCTCTTGGTTATGCATATCTGGTTATGCTGGAAGGGCGAAACCTGTGCCAGCACGGGACCTTATAAATTCGGGTCCTGAGTACAGATTAATCCGTGGACAGACCGTTGTCACGGACTTCATCCGGTTCCGCCCCGGGTACCCGTACAGTACCCTCCCTATTTTCCACATAGGTACCGCAGCTGTTGCCACGCTCTTTTTTCTACTTAACTAACAGTTGCCACCGTTAAGTTGTTGACTATAAAGTCGACTACCAAATCTCCACTCCGGTGGCGGAGCTGTCGCTACACGCACCTCCTGCCGCCGAAGCTTCTCTTGAGTTCCCAGAAATCTACACGGCTGGAGGGACCGGGATGTCTAGTTCGTCCTTTATTAGCTCTCCGGGCAAGTGCCAGAGACATCGGTTGCAGTGTCCTGTGACAATGTCCGGACATAGTCTCCAATTTAAGGGGCTAACCAGGTGCCACACGCATCTCCGCGACTTAGGCCCTCGTCTAGACCGCTGGTAGGTAAGTCGCGCTAGCTGCGCGCGAGACAGACGCCCCGGCCACATACTTCAGGAGCAGACGAACATGTCCGTTTCTGTAGCTACCACAATCCCCGGCGAGTCAATACCCAAGTCCAGGTCTACAAGAGACGCCCGTGACTGGCGGAGGGCTTGGCTCGGACGCCCGCCGTACCCTGGTTTTACCGAGGATCCTGTAGTCCCCCCGGAAATCCAGTGGCTGTTTGAACCGTTTTAACATACGGTTATACAGGTATGACGAAGGCAATTTAAATTTATTGTGTCGCGCTTCCAATACCTATTCGCTGCCACGTTTGAATAAATTACAGGCACATGAGACTTATCAACTTAATTACGTCTCAGGGTGACGGGCGCAGTGGCGATCTTTGTGTTGTAAAGCTCTGAGTGGTACTGCAACTATGGACCGGCGTGTCGCTTACCATCAGGAACACGACTTGTTCATCTCGCCACTTGCTTTAGTAAAAAAAGATCATCTTAAGGGGCAGGGCAGACGCTATGAGGCTAGATAACGTTGCTTTTGTTGACAATGTTATTCTCGTAAAATCAAGTGCATCAGTGCAACTTGAGAATTATCCAGTACGCATATCTACTTCAATGGGCTTACCTTGTTCAAAGACGAGAGTCCTCGCTCGTAGTTCCCCACTTTGATATGGCCCGCGGCCTCGTCGCGGTATTTCTTCGCCTCCAACGGGTTGCTGATAGGCAGTTCTGGTTCTTTACCGCGACCCATTTTTCAACCTGGAATATACACAAACACATCATTGGTGTGGGTAAACATATACCACAGTCATTGCCAATGTAGATAGGCCTGCTGAAAATAAACATTCGAAGAACTTTAGCCACTTTTATGGATTAACAACTTCAATATTTGCTGAACGTTAGTAGGTAAATATAATAAATTTGTCCAATAGCATGGCCGCTAATTGTTCCTAGAGTAATTTAGAATATTTGTGACCAAGTAATGTAACCGATTATACATATACATAGAAATAGAAATTTAAAATTTGTTACTTAAAACTGTTTATTTTCATAAGGTTGTAATGCCGCTAAAAATATAGTATTTCCCCTCCACCAATTAACTTTTTTCATTCCTCTCCTTTAGTGTTATTAATAAAACATATATATGTATCCCACAGGAACCAAAATAAAGTACAGGGTGGAAAAAATCAAAGGTACATGTGGGGAACTAACCTTGCATGCATAAGGAAATATTCTTGTATTTTTCTTATTACAAATAACTTCATTCACAAATTTTTTGAAATGCTTGTCTGAACCCAGAAACAAACCAACTAAAATAAAACATTAGCTATTTTGTTGCACTAATCAATATGGGCAATGATAACTAAATGAAACTAAACAAAAAATCTTTAAAGGTTTTAATTTGCATATTTAGTGGTTAATGCCTACGTCCTTCGTGATAGAGTCAATGAAATATTATATTCAAAGGACGTCGTCAATTGTAAGACCCAACGAGTTTATACTTATTCATTTTATTAAAATAAAATTGTGTGTTTTTACTTTTTGCAAATTTAGATGTTTATACTCCCGGCTCAGGTAAGATTTTCAAAAAACTAGCGAAGAACAATAAGGGAATGTTTCCTTTAAGTGAAATTAGCCATCGTAAGGTTAAGATGGTTTTCTCTCTCTCTTTCGGTCACATAACAATTACAGGTACAATGAAGTACCTAATAAAAGCAGAACGAATTTATCGTGATGAACCCAGTGAACATGGTTAACATTTCAAGGCGTATTGCATACTCTACCGTCGACTATTAGTCATGAGACGTACAGATAGCGATCGGCCGATTTGGGTTATGAACAGTTCCGTGCGCAGCGGCAATTTATATTGATTATCAGTTCATCTTGGATCCATGTCAGGGGCATGTTTATTGGGCTATTAAGCAAGAAATATAACATACATTAAAGATATCTAGTGCAGCTTTCAATGTTTAAGCCTACAAGAAATTAAAAATTTGTCTGCAAATTTCGAGCAGATTTTCTTCAGTAACTTCATCGTTACTTTCTCACAAATCTCGCCACTTGGCAAAACCTCCCGGCTGCCTGCTTTTGTAAATGCCATATTCAGTTTTGACAGATGTGTGCGTACGCATTGAATGGAATCCGTCAACGTTTTACTTTAATAATGTAATAGTATAGGTACCTAAATACTTCCAGCATTACGATCAAATTGCAAAGAGAATTACGACTAAAAGTTTTTGAAACAATTTGTCGCAAGGGTGGGGTGGGACGAGGTCATAATTCCGCATCGGCAACGTAGTCACGGCCTTCATTACGTTAGAAATTATTCATGCAAGCCAACGAGCTATGAAAAATCACGACATGCTGTTGTTTATAGTAATGCAGCGGAACCTCACCGCATATTCAACGTGAAAACTTTAAATGGATTGTCTAATTTGTTCTGTCAATTGTTTTTTTTAATATACTTTGTTTTGTGATTTTCAGGGCGAAGTAGCGTGATTTTTTACAATAGCATTTAAGAGTTCGAACCTGTAACGAGTAAAAGTAGAATGCATTACTTTACAAAACACAGGATTTATCGAAACCGTGGTTGGAGTAACAAGAATAAAAGAAGTTGTATGAAAAGGTACCTAGTTGATGTATGTGAGGCTCGAGAGTTGTGTCAGGATAGGGTAAAGTGGCGTTCCGTGGTCTCTGTCTACCCATCTTGTGGGACTCGGGCGTGAACTATGTATGACTGGAGTTGTTAACTAAGCTAAACCCGGTCGAAATGTAAGTTAACGTATAAAATGGGGAAATTATGGCAATGTCAGCAATTCTCAATGCATTATGTTTAATATTTGTAATAAAATACCTTCTCTCCCGTTCGTTAGTTTTTAAGCCGACTCTTTTTTAATTTTTATAATTTCATAGAGTACAAAAAACACTTCTAGAATTTTAAATAATATCAATGAATTCCCTAAATGAACCGCGGAAAATAGTGCAAATGATTACCATGTCCCCAAGTATTACAACAAGTAGTACAGTTTAATACACAAACAACAAACAATGACAACGACAAGTGCTAGACTGTAATGTCTTCCCGGCTACCTTGGGTAACGGAATGGATAAAAAAATAAATAATTATCAAAGGGTACAATAAGTGCTTATTATATACCTAAGTGTAAGAACCTATAACTTTATCTAAACTATTTGAAAAAACTATGACTAACCGAATGTACAACTTCTTAGAAAAATATTATAATGTTCAATGACAATCAACACGGGTTCAGGAAAAAACGGTCTACGTCTGAGGCAGTACTCAAATATGTGCAAGAGATTCTGACCTACACCAATGGCAAACACAATGCAATCGGAATTCTTCTCGATATGTCAAAAGCATAATATGACAG